ATCAAAAAATATTGGATATCATGTATTCCGTAGTGTAGTGGTTAACACCTTCATTTTAGTCCAAACCAAGAGGTCGCGCGTTCGAGTCTCGCAACTAACAGTCAATTTATTACAGCCTTGAATCCATCAGATTAGCTACTGATTATTAGAGTTCAAGACTGACTTCATCGTAGAAAAGTCACAACAAAAGGTACAACGCTTGGTCTCACAAAAGGTTGGTTCATTTTTGTTTCTTCCCCTTTTCCCAGCGTCGTCTGATCAGGCCCAATAAGGCGTCGTAGTCCTGATGTTTCGTGATTAGCCTGATAATGGCGCTCAGGTCTGATATTACCTGATATTTGAAAAAGGTACATTCTTGAAAAAAATAAGGCACCCCCCGGTCTAATGACCTGATATTTTCTTATAATCTCATATTTTCGGAAATCAGGCAACAAAGATTTTTCCGACATGCAGATCGAAGATGGATGGAGGAATACTTTTCAAGATGAACGACAGTATACATGTGTTCAACGCCGAACCGACCCAATAACGGGATTAGAGCATGTATCACGATCCAGGTTAGATCGAATATACGTACAACACAAGCTCTTTGACTCATGCCGGGGATGGAGAATTGACCAAACGGCGGTTAAAACCGACCACCTTTTGATTGCAGTGCAGATAGTCTGTCGGGCGGACGAGAAGCCCGGAAAAGGGCGATTCAGCCTCCCACTTTACCTCTTAAAAACTCGCAAATTCATGTCCGAGGTGCAGCGACTGGGTATGACCTTGAAACAAGATTGCCAAGACCTGGAAAATCTTCCAAGATCTCCTGACCGGAACATTCAAACCTTGTGGGCCCAATTCAAGCGAGACGTCATCGATCACGCTAAGAGTGTTTCACTCCTGGTAGAGAATGAAGATACAAGGAACTTACGCACATGGAAAGCACAACTGTACCTCATAATTCATGATACCAGTATCCCTCCCGATGATCGAAATCTAACGGCATATCTTCTAGAGAAGAAAATTAACGATACTCTTCAACAGCGAGCTCAGGACAAGAAAGATTTATCACAGACCAAGTACGATGTTGAAGGCGAAACTCTACACAGCCGCTTCTGGACTCGATCTGCGGCAGGATACCACATGAAAGAGACGATTCACGAGTTTGTGAAACCTGGAACAACAGCGGGCCCACCACAGTATGAGTCTCGCCCGAAATCAATGGCTGAAATGGCTCGCACTTACCACGATAGTGTGCAGTTAAAGGACAAACCAGATGAATACGCGAAGATTCTTGCCACATCAATAGTCTTGGAACAGTGCGACGCACACCTAAACAGAGAACAGTACAATTCCATGAATCAGAGATTACTTGCATCCGAGTTGAGTACCGCCCTAAAAATATCGAAAAACGGCTCAGCTCCTGGGATAGACGGACTCCCTTACGAGTTCTACAAATGGCTAGAAATTGAACACAAAAATAAAACGGAGAAACAGGAGAACACCTGGGATGTCATGACTATTCTTGAGTCCCTTTTTGAAGACATTGAAACACATGGAGTGGCCCTAGGCACAGATTTCCACACAGGATGGATGTGTCCGATCTACAAAAAAGGTGATCGCGCAGAAGTCGCGAATTATCGGCCCATCACGCTGCTGAATATAGACTATAAATTATTGACAAAAAGCTACTCGCTGAGACTTGCCGATGTTGCCCCACAAATTATTCACCGCGATCAGGCTGGCTTTATGAAAGGTCGCAAGATTGAAGACCAAGTTAAACAACTGAAACACCTACTCAACTATGCAGACGCTTTCGAAGAAAATGGTATTGTGGTAGCCCTTGATCAAGAGAAAGCATACGATAAAGTGGACCACGAATACCTATTGGCTGTTCTGAAACGAATGCGATTCCCGCTAAGTTCGGCAACTTGGTCAAAATCCTATACACCGACGCCAAGACTCAAGTTATGGTTAACGGCGAATTGAGCATACCCTTTATCGTGACACGGGGAGTTCGCCAAGGCGACCCCTATCCTGCCTACTTTTTAACTTGGCTATTGAGCCACTCGCATCGTTACTGCGAAACTCTGAGATCAAGGGTGTCAGGTACCTGGTACAGAGCGCAAATTGCTCATATCCCTTTTCGCTGATGACACAACAATTTATCTGTCCAACAAAGATTCTTGGGCAGCGCTCTGGAGCATTCTCGATCTATGGTGCACTGCATCAACAGCAAAATTCAATATGCGAAAGACAGTCATATTACCTTTCGGATCCTCCGAGTACAGAACACAAGTTGTCCAGGATCGCAAAATCAGCCCGGCATCACCAAAGATCCGGAGTGACTTGACAATCATACCAGATAAGCAAACCTGCCGCTTCCTCGGAGCTTGGGTCGGAAACGACGTACCTTATCTGACACCCTGGCCGAGGTAATTGAAAATATTTCAAGAGATTTAGACCGCTGGAACTCCAAAAAACCTACATTAGAGGGCCGCAGACACATAATTAACATGGTCATTGGCGGGAAAACCCAATACTTGACGCGGGTACAAGGAATGCCTGATGAAATTGAGGATAAACTGATCCGAATGCGAGATGAGTTCCTCTGGGAAGGTAAGAAGCCGCGTGTTGCTCACCAGACAATGTGTCTTCCACTCATCGACGGTGGAAAGCAAATCTTAGATGTACGCTCCCGAAATGAGGCAATAGACTTGTGGAATCTGAAAGAATTCCTACGAGACGGAGATGATCGAGCAAACTGGCCAATTTTTGGCTGAACATACCATTATGAAGCGCTGGGATGCAAGCCAATCGGATGCCAACCGAGGTTCTATGTACCATATTTTCCTGCAAAATGTACGCATCCCATCATGGAGAAACGCCCCCTTACCGCATGATATCCAGTCCATGATTCTGGCAGCCAAAAAAATATCACCTGGCTTTCACAGCGCTTTCAATTTCGAAGGAAGTTCAGCTCCAAATGCCTGCATGGAACCACATCGCACTGATTGGGCAGAAGTTTGATAAAATTCGGAGGAAAGATGCTTTAAAATGCTTACGACAAAATCATCACACCCGAAGTGTGGCCGACATCTTGACAATATCACAGCGCAGAACCACCTTGATAAGACAGCCACATGTAGTTAACCCTTCTGGAATTGGACGCAAGAACTGTGGATGCCCGCTCTGTCGACGAGACCGCGTTGAATATGGTTGTGTCAATCCGGGAGAATGTGTAGAGGCCGCAAAGGCACTAATTGAATGTATCCAGCCCAAATGGAATCCCCTCATAGCAAACCACGACCTCTGCGAGCATCTTGCGCTGTCGGAGGCAGAAAAATCCGGAAATGATCAAGGTAGTCAAGGTAGTCAAGACGGGCGGCTGACCTTTGATCCGGTTTTCCGGCTGACAGACCTTTCAAATGGCTTCCGAATTTTCGCCTCGAGGACCATACAACCGAACTCGCAACAAAACGCTACCCTACGGCTAACCCCGACCCAACGGTGCTCGATGTATACCTCCATGCAAGAATCCAACATCCGGGCGAGACACATGCGCAGATGCATGTAATGATATTGATTCGCGGAAACAACTACGTCAAAATGAAGAGATCACTGCTACTTTCCTTTCCGGACACAAACTTGTACTCTTCGTTCAACACAGCAATTCTGGGAGGCCTGCTATATGTGGTGCAAGAAGTCCCACAATATATTCCGCTCATCGTCCACTGCTGTTCAACCTTTCTTGGCAAAACCCTTGTGACAGATCGTGTTAACAGCGAAAACAACCCCCTCAACCCAAATTACGAGCTGATAAAGTGTACCATCTCTGCCTTACAAGAGAGATCTGCCAGAACCTACTTCAAGAAGGTGGATACTAATCCAGCAGTGGAACTACAGACGTTAAATCCTACCCCAATGTCTTTGGACATACAATCAGACCTGATGTTCGCCAACCCTGGAATATTGCTAAAAGAAGGAAGTCAACACTTGTTTACCAGAGTAATCAAATCCATGAGAGACAAACCCACACGGAAATCCACGACATCCAATCTTGATCGTATCCGTTGTTGCGTTGCAGAGGAGTTTGGATACCAACCGACTGACAGCGCCATTTGGACCTCGATCAGATCCAACAACATTCACCGACTAACACGAAACTTTTTATGGAAAAGTCTGCATGATACCTACCATGTCGGTTTTTTCTGGGACCATGTACCAAACATGGAAATCCTCGGCCAATGCCCGATATGTCGAGTGCCAGAATCACTGGAACACATTATGCTGGAGTGTAACGCACCCGGTCAGCAGCAGGTATGGCAATTGACGGAGAGACTTTGGAGGCTCAAATTTTCCACCTGGCCTAAGTTAAATTGGGGGCTACTCCTGGGTTGCGGCCTCGCCAGATTTACCTCTCCAAATGGCAAGACAGTACCATCTAAGAATCGTTTCTTCACAATAATTGTCTCAACATCGATGTATTTGATCTGGACTTTAAGAAACGAGAGAGTGTTTGAGACCCAATCACCCAAGTCAGAGGCTGAGACACATAACCGTTGGGCGGCGCTGATCAACTCCGCTTTGAAGAGAGATCAGTTACTTACAAATCGAGCCCGATTTGGATCTCTCGCGACGAAAAAGCAACTAGTGCATGACACATGGAGCGGTGTACTCCTTGATGAAGATTCCCTGCCGGATGATTGGATAAAAATGAAGGGGGTTTTAGTGGGTATACGGCCGAACACTCGAAACAATGGAGTAGGATAATACCGAGCAGCCAGAGTCCCACACGAAGCTTGAAATATGTGCGTAACGGCATTTCCTCCTGAATCACTTCCCGGCTATACTGGAAACAGTTCTACCAGCGGATGCGCTTGGAATGCTTTGCAGACTGAGTTGCATTATAATAAACGCTCCAAAAAAAAAGAAAGAAGAATGAATATTTTTCCGGAAGTTTCAAGATCGACGTTCTGGAGGTGGACACTGCATCTTCTCGATCGTTCAGTCTGGACACTATAGCTTAGTGGTTGAGCATACGATTGCAATATCCAGTCGGATGTTATCGTGAGGTCCCGTGTTCGAACCACGGTAGTGTCTTGTTTTTGCTTTTTGTCTTTTGGCCTGCCTTTCGTTTTCTTTTCGCGGCTCTCAGTCTTGCGGTTCATTTCCTCGATTAAAAATGTTAACTGATGCTCGGCCGGATTTCTATGTGGTGCGTTTTCTACCCAGGTATCCCAATGTGCCTGGCACGTTCCAGAATCCAGACTCAGACGCGTGCATGCCGCACTGGACTTTAACCCGGAATTGCTCCGCCAACGCGGCCGTGCACCATAATCCACTCAACAGGTTGATTACGGGCGCAGCAAGTTCGATTGGGAGCATGCGGACAAAGATAATTGAGTTTATGAATGAATGTCGCTGGTACGAGACATTGCAGACAATATTCCGAGGCCAACACTTTGAGTTGGAAGAAGCATATGGTTTTCAGCTACTGTAGCAAACTGGAAGGAAGACGTTATCAAGCGATGTATTCCGCGCAGCTCTTTGTACGGCCTCTAGAGCTGTTCCCCCTTCACAAAAATCCGTTCACACCTCACACAGATCCGACGTCCCCGGCAAGCACGTCTAGATGAGCCGTAAGTCAGTCGGTGCAGAAGGCGAATAAGCATGCACAGACGACGCACAGGTGAGGCGATGCGCTCGCGTGGATACTCATGTCCAGCGACACCGACAAGCCGGCGCAGCTGCAGATACCCCTTCATCGTCCCCGGGCTGCTTGTGGTCTGTTCAGGTACGGGTGATTCAGACGCTATTCGGGAAATGAAGTTGGGGGGTATACCTTCCGCTCGAGTGGGAGCGCTTTCGCGGCGCCGAGCCCGAAGAAAATCAGAGCGGACAAGGAGAGAGCGAGGTACTTCATGTAGGGTGCTGGACCATTCGACCCTCGAGTGGGGCCTTATAAGGACGCGAGCCGAGATACAAGTTACAGGCTACAGCTCATACAGGGCGTATCACAGGCGACGTGGACGACGCGAATAAGTAGCGATTTAGTGCGTCTGGCGTACAAGGTTTGGACATCGAAGGGTAGTCTGGCAGCGTCAAAGTGCAGATAAGGACAGCTTGCCGATGAGGAAGGAATGGAGTGAGAGGCTTGGCTTGTACTCGTTCGGCATTCGACGCTCCGACGCCGATTTGTGCGCAAGGTTTAGGGCACGATTGACTTGCCCCGAAAGGGTGTAATGTGGATTGCATGGAAAGGTGATTCGGGGGTGATGATAGTGCCAAGTCACGGAGCTTGGAGTGATGCACCGAATTGCAGTAGGACACGTCTGTCGTCAGATTGGCAGTAGTTGGGCTCAATTAATGCGACAATTTGTGGCTGAGATGGCAGAGTGTCGGCGAGAAGCTGGGTTATCGTATCGCCGCCCACTCACGAACGAGCAACTCGGCCCCAAACGAAATTGGAACAGAGTATCTGGAAAGTCCGAACGATAGTGCTATGCCGGAATAATTGGGTTCGAGTGCAATTCGAGAGCAACATGTGTCAGGGACGGGGATCTCCACGGTTTCTGGCCCGTGTATGATGAAGACAAGGAGAGGCTTCTAGAGCATTAAGTAGGTTGCTGCCACCTGCGCCGCAAGGAATCCGAAGTCAGAAAAGCCTGACTCAGAATGGAGAGCCAGTTTCGCAGACAATGTGATGGTGAATCAAGGAATGGATATCGTAAGACGCCGCGTGGATGTGGTGTCGAAACAGCCTGAGCTTGAGGATGGTCGTGGCAACAGAGGAAGTGGCGGTGTTGTTATGAGTGCACTCATTTGCCAAAGACCCTGCTTCCAAACATCGTGCTCCTTGTTCTTGACCGCCATCACCTAGTCTCTTATAAACAGACGCTACAACAATACAGTTGGGCAACTGATGACACCGTGCGCATATCTCAACCAACTTCCGAGACCAAGACATTGTGATCTCTATCAGCATCTCTGCTGAGAAATCCCAATTTCCCAGCGGATCCGTTTCTGCAACTTTACAAATGTCCCTTTTGATCGTTCCTCGTCAAGTCTTTAAAAGGCGCGCGCGACGCGACGATACTCAACACCCTCCCACCCCATGGACTCCCAACTCACCCTAGCCACCGTCGCGCCAGAAATACGCTTGATGTTCGATAGGGACAGCATGAAAAACGCTACATTGCTCCTGGATTCAGTGCCCGCCTACACCATATCCACCGACACGACAAACGCGTGCACCGAGCTCCGTGTCACGGGCACCGGTGAACTCCTCGCCCGCGTCGCGTGGAAGGACATTTTGCCCGACACCATCACATTCCCGACTGTGAACGGCGGCAGGGAAATGGGATTAAAAAAGTGGCTCAACAAGTCCAAGCTCTCCGACGGCTCGTGCGCTATCGTCCCAATCCTCGTTTGTTCATTCCATCAGAGTTCCAGTGCTGATACTTGTAAATTTTTGCTCCCTAGTTCAATCCATGTCATCGGGACTAAGACTGGGAATTTTGCGCTCAAGACGCACCCAGTGCATCGGCTGGCGGTGCGCACGTTTCTTTCGTCCATCCATTCTGTCTGACAGGCGATCCAGTTATTCCACGAAGATGACCTCCAGACGCCCGTGGGGCACTGGCAACGCACTAGCTCTACATCTCCACCCACACTCGTGTTACAGGCAGGGATACGGGCCGCCTCACGCCCGCAAATCATCACAGCGTTCATTGTACGGGAATTCAAGATGCGGATGAAGGAGCAGACAAATCAGCTTGCCCACGGAAGACCCGCAGGGCAGTTCCTTCTACTGGCGGCAACAAAATAGACATCATTTTTAATTTCCGTACGCACCACGTTGATACGTACGTCTGTGAAATTTTAACACCGACCTGGCTATCAAAAGAATGAATTATCTTCAATTCAGACTCACTACATTTTGATGGCGCCTCGGCCAACTTGGTCCGAGGTCGGCTGAGGTTGGCCGAGGCGCCATCAAAATGTAGTGACCAAGGGGGGTCGACTTTCGAAATTCGGATATCGGGTCGAAAAGTTTTTTTCGACCTCAAGCTGAACCCCCCTCCCCCCCTCTCCTTCCATAAAGGGAAGGAGTTTCCCACCCCTAGCGGCGGACCGTCCTTTCCGGTCATGTGCGTCCTCGCCAATTCCCAGAAAATTCACCCCATGGGTGCACATTCACATTGTCGACGTCGTTTCAGTGATATTCAACCGTTCGATGGGTGCCATTGCATTAAATTTCAATCCCATATAGGCCACTTCAGGTCTAGAAAATCAACCTAATTAGCTCAGCAAAAGCCTGGCATGACGCCTGATGGGCCGTAAGTTACTTGATGCCCTCAATTGAGAGGTCTTAGTGTGTGCCACGCACCTGTTTCCTTTTTCCTTTTGCCATTGCAAGCGAGGTGCTGAAGCAGCGCTGAAGATTAACGTAATGCTGATCCTTGTGACCCGACTTCCCAATTTGGCTTGGCGGTCTGATTTAACATGGGGACCCTCTCTTTTCCATTCAACACAATTTAAACTACTCCAAATGCATTTTTGAAACATTCTGGACTTATTTAGTAACTTGGCCTGGAAGTTTTTTTCAGCCCTCCTCGAGACCCCCCCCCCTCCCACCCCATATCCAAAATTTTAATGCCGACCCCCCCTTGGTAGTGACTGCGTCTACACGTATGTCGTTCGAATAACAGCATATATCCTGTGTGAACCGAGGGCAATATGGGAAACAGCCTATATGCCATTTCTTTGGTTGTTCCTTCAACCAGCCCACTTCGATTCACTGAATGGAAATATATATCTCATGTGGGAAAAAACAAAGACAGTCTGCGACTACTTTGTCTTTTCTTTGAAATTATTCCCAAACATTCAGTCCCCCACGCTTTGTAGGATCGCCGACGTGTACCATCCAATCTAAACAGATCGCACTTCGGCCTTGTGCATCGGTTCTTGTATTCACAAACCCTCGGAAGTTGCCTGCTATTACCCCAGTAATTTCCCCGTTGTAATCTCCCCATCATAAGTTTGCCGATTGGATTCCCAGAAACAACATAGAAAAATTCCTGCAAAGTGGTCGAAGAGTCGAAGTCGATTTCTCAAAGCCCCTATGAGGCCGTGCTTCCGGATGTCCTGTAGTATACCGCGACACACAGCACCAAAGTTGACCAAACATCGCTTTCTTTCCTTCCATCATCACTCTTTTTACGGATATGGCGTCAAAATCTGATTCTTTGACCCAAGCACATATGATGCTGAAGGATTTGGGGATAGACATGGAAACCTTTCAGTCCATGGTCGCATCCACCAATGAATCCCTCCCTGAGCTCACTGACATTCCGCCTTCCACGGCACCTATGATTTTCTCGCCGAATGCCGGAGCCGCCGCGCAGAGACCTCATTCACAGCGAATCCAAATGTTGCTGCGAAATACAGATGGCCTGGACGATCTCTGCCCGCCAAACGCCGCGGACAAAACCACTTGCTTTGTGCGGTCAAATGTTCTGAAGGGCAGAGCGGAGCAACAGTTGGCGGCCAAGGACTATCTTGGTGCGCGAGCAACGTATATTCAAGCCGCATCGGAAATGGTTGTTGCAGCTTTACCGTCCTCGGGCGATGTTCGTTCGGATACTTATGCTGCACTTGGTCACGACTGGGAGACGATCGACCTAATGGCTTGTTTCAACGGAGTTGTCGAATGTTCGAGGCAACTCAAGGACTATAGTACGGTGAGATATATCTCGCCCCACTTCTTTTATTACTTGATTTCGTGCTCTCTAGGCTATACTGTGGCTTGAAGAAGCGGATGTACTGGACAAAAATGTCGAGCTAGCCCCTATCTTGACGTCGTCCTTTGGTTATTATTTATACCCTCCGCACGCATTGTCTGATTACTCCCTAGAATGGACTCGGATGAAGATTTCCTCGCCGAACTATTATTTTGAGCGCATCACGACTCTCTGCCTTGCATCCGAAGTGTTCTTGGTCATTGGTAACACGGGCAGTGCCGTTCATCGGCGCTGGGTCGCGGACCAGATCTTTGCGTATCTTCACGACAGCCTGAAGATGCCACAAACTCTGAAGCT